GTACGGATAGGCGCTTAGTAAGAAATAGAGCATACGATAAGGCCTGCACAACAACAGATTGCGTTACATGCGCTACCAATAAACAAGGGGACTGTATGTGCGCAGGTGTGATCTATCTCTTGACTTGTAAATCATGTGGCGAGGAGTACATTGGCGAGACGGGTAGGCCACTATGTCTGAGAATCAAAGAACACATGGACGGGATGCGTAGATCGAGATTATCCACGCCCCTAGGCACGCACCGTAAGCAGCGCCATCAAAACGCAGAATTCGCTCTGTATCAATTCTGTTGCGAGAATCAGAAGTGGCGGCGCGCAAAACATTAGAAGCCTGCTGGATTTCCGCTAGGAATCCAAAAATGAATAGAAAAGAGGAATGCATCGCCATCACAAACGAACTCGCGCCGTTTCTGGAGTTATGCGGGTTTGACCAACACCCTCATAATCGGATGCCGTAGCTCATTAGTCACTCAACGCATGTCAGTGGTGGTCTGCAGTTCTCACTCGGCAGGTTTAAGGTGAGCTGTCTATAGGCATCACAACTTCCCTTTTCCTGTGACGATAAGACAACTGGAGGGTAGATTTCATTAACTGCTCACTTTTTAGGCTCTGAAGAAGGCGAATCAGCCGAAACGTAAGCCTGATAAAAGATTTGGTCAAGGCTTAACAACTGCACATAAGGATTCATCACCATGCCAAGATTCATTTAAAGCCGAACATGGGATATCAGAACAACATGGTTTTGCCTTCAACAAAAAAAAGCATGACTTTCTACAAAATCTGATGCAAAGCCGTTCAAGCTTCATCCGTACACAGGCATCTTCGGTTCCACTCCAAGTGGACCGTCGATAATTGTTCATGCAGCAAAACTTGCCTTTCCTTTGACTCTCCGCTTATTTCCTCTCGACTTCTAATTTTCCACTTTCCGCTTTCTTCCTGCACCGCATACGACACGGCAAAGTTTTTGCAAGAGAATGTTTCCATTTGTTTCCATCTGATTCATCGTATATTTACGCAACTTCCGCAGGGACCCGGTAGAGCTTTTCCAAACGTTCTGCAGAAGTTTCGGTCAGTTGTCTGAGCAGTTGAACATGATTTTTAGCGCGCGCCCTTGCCAATTAGACCATGGGAAAATACTTGTATGGTAAAACAAGCTTGAATAGGTATAAGGCGAACAAATCAAAATATCGAAAAAATGGCCCAGAAAATCTTTACGGAAAAAAGCCTAAGTTCTTCGTGCTTATCTATATCGAAGCATGGCATCGACTCGCGCAGGAAGGAGTTTATAAGCCACATACATTAACAAAGCATATCAACTTCCGTTTTATATAAGGGGGAAGAGCGCATTGCAAGTACGTCTCCGCAGTGAGGTGAACAGGAAGGAGTAGTGAAATCGCTTCAAGACCGTGCTCGGCAGTTCGTAGTCGCGTTAGAGCTATTGAGGATAAAACAGTGTGCACGTCTTTTTGGAACACCCTGTATATGAAGTTTTGGAGTTTACAAGCTACATACATCAACGAAGCATACTAACTTCCGTTTTACATAAGGGGGATGACGCTCGCTGCAAGTACGTCTCCGCAGCGAGAGGAGCAGGAAGGAGTAGTGTAATCGCTTCAAGACCGTGCTCGGCAGTTCGGGGTCGCGTTAGAGCTATTGAGGGTAAAACAGTGTGCACGTCTTTTTGGAACACCCTGTATATAAAGCTGGTTGTCTGTTTGTCTGTTTTCAGAATAGAAAATTTCAATTTTACCGATCCGAATCAAGCTTTGCATACATACACATCGGGGCGACGCGGGTCGTAGGGTATGTTTGGGAGGGGGAGACGGGTTAGTACGCATGTTGATCACGAATGCATAGTGGGAGCAGGGTACTGGCACATAGAAGAGAGAAGGGGCAGAGAAAGTTGTCGTCAAGAGCTAAGGCATGGTCATGCTCAACATACTGTATTGACAGGACCGGGCGGTATGCCACAGTTAATCTTTGCTTCAATCAGATTGGCTGCTGAAAGGCGGGGCTTCATGACCTAGGAGGCGACTGCTCGCGTTCACGACGCAAACGACGCCCTCGCGAACATCTCTCTGATCATTTTCTAGCCTTAATTATGTCACGGAGCAGTGCCTTCCAGCCGATCTGGTTGAGCAAAGAGTACCCTATTTTCAGGTGTATAAGCCGCACCCTTTTTGCTCTAAACGCGAGCAGACCCAGGCGCGCCGCTGCGCATGTGCCTCGCGAAGCGGTCGCTTTCTCGCATATGGCTCTCACTTGACGCGCCCCATCGTAACAGGCAGTCTTTTGATGTGTGCGCCTTTAGAGTGAAAAGGGTGCGGCTTATACACCTGAAAATAGGTAGTTAACGCATTGACCACCAGGACCGCTTGACACACAAGGTGTGTCAAGGTATGAATTTAGTAAAACTGCGACTTTTCTGGGGCGAACTCACGTAGGAGTTTTCTTTTGCGTTGGGTTTAGAAATAACCTCCATCCAATATGTCAGCTTCAAAGAGCTACTGTGGGTGTGCTGCAGATGACATCACGCGTGATTATATTTAAAAAATGTTGGCTGATCCGTGGTAGGCCTTGCTCTCAAAAGGCAGACAATCCAAAATTTGCGTAGTCGTCAATGTGTTAATATACAGTCGAGTAGATTTCCTGCTTAATATAGTGTCCCTGCAGACGCGACAACGCTGGGGCGTCAATAAATGCCTTGCGAGTTCCCGAGCTAGTGTTTTTCAGTGTTTTCTTTGCTTATTTCATGCTTTTTAGGTAATTCGTTGCTGATAAAGAAGAAAAGGGTAAGTTAGAGAGTAGTTCCTGTTTTCTGAGAAGTTCTATCATCGCATATTCACAGATATCTACATGGAAGCAGTTCGCGTCAGCTTCTTGTCTATTTTTTTGTCATTTCATGTCTCTTTCTTCTTGTGAGGTACTACTTTGAACGCTACTAGGTTTTTACGATTGACTTATTGTCCTTATCACATGGAGTACTTGATTAAAATGCTATTTCTTATGGATGAAAGCCGAAGTTGCTGCAAGGCAAGCCAACTAGCGTCCAAAGAAACGCCTCACAAGAAGGAGGAGGTTTGAAAGAAGAAGTGACAGAAGAAAAGGAGATGACAAAAAAAAGAAAGAAGAAAGAAGAAGCCGCGAGATGCTTCCACGTGGATATCTGCGAATATGCAATGATAGAACTTCTCAGAAAACAGAAACTACTCTTTAACTTACCCTTTTCTTCTTTATCAGCAACGATTCACCTAAAAAGCATGAATTAAGCAAAGAAAACATTGGAAAACATTAGCTCGGGAACTCGCAAGGCATTTATTGACGTCCCAGCGTTGTCGCGTCTGCAGGGACACTATATTAAGCAGGAAATCTACTCGACTGTACGCTCCTTGTCAAAGGAGACATAGAAAGCTGGCAACAATCTTTCATTGCTTCGCGAAAAGCAATGAATATTTGCGATGGTCGCAAGTTAAGTGAGTCCCTATTGCAATGATATGATTACTTCTTGAGAAGACAACGATTGTAGTAATGGTTTCATGAAACATTGCTTCCGAACTGTTTTTAGGAAGAATTTAGACATATTTGAAAAACTGAGAAAGAGCGCTTGTGGATTTTGAATGTTTTAATCAAAGGTCTCCAGTTGTGTGGCTTCATAACGGCTTTTCTGAGAATTTAAGCAATTGTGATAAAGCAGTCATATAAAAATAGTTTTTCTTTACTTTTTTGAGATTTTTACTGCATTTCTTGCAACGATGCTTGACACAGATGTGACCTGATATCCTTCGAGAGATAAACGTGTACATGGGCAATGTCGTCAGCTTTTCTGTTCATCACCATTCTCATCAAATTCATTTTCTCTTATATGTAACTCATACCGATGCATTTAGTAACAACACAAAAAATTCTGTGTAAAGTTTTAGGTTGTCTTAAAAGTAAACTCCAAATAAACTCCAACTTTCAAATAACTTGGTGTGTTTTTGTTTTTTTGACAGATTTAGGGCCCATTCGGTAGAGCAGAGCAAGCTCTACAAAAAGACTATCAAAGCTAGACCTAATTCATAACCCAGGTAGAATTTGGAGTCAAAAATCAAAATTTTTCCGTTACCCCAAAAGTCGGGTCTCCTTCCAGAAAATTCCTACGGACATCCAACATGGTATTCATGTAGTAGACACATAGTAGTACCCAAAAATGTATTTGGTGGATTTTTTCCGGGGCTCAAGATTGAGAAACAAAGCTGGTCTCAAAATGCCAAAATGTCACTTTTTTCGGTTTTTTTATGTCAAGTTTGGCATTTCTTGATTATAAGAGCACATGCAGGGGTGAAAATGAGTTTATACTCAGTAAGGCTTATGGTATACAATGGCATATGTGAGAGGGGCTGGGTGCGGAGTTTGATATTTTTGGGGTATTTTTCTCGCTTTCTATGGGCAGAAAAAATCCAGTAAAAATATATTTGAGTACTAATATGTGCCTTCTGTGTAATGATCAACTTGGAGATATATAAGGTTTCTCTCCGCAAAAATCCAAATTTCAGGTAACAAAATTTTTTCGATTTTGACTTTAAACTTTACATGAAAGGCGACTCAAGCGGACCTTTGGTGGTCATTCTGTAGGGCTTGATTTGCTTTACTTTTGGAACAACCTAATAGATACCAAGTAGATACTTTGAGAATCCGACTAACGAGGTTGCCAATGGGATACGTAAAAACGACTCATACCCCAGCACCTGCTTTTAGAAAAGGAGATGCAAGGAAATATTAAATCCATGATTGCCGGAGTTTAGAATGGGATGCCATTCCTTCTGATCGCTGACATGACTATCTTATTGTTAGATGGTATCACTGCTAGCCACGGTTGCCTGCACTCAGCGTTTTTTCGCACCACTGACACTCATCAGTCTTGTAGAGTATGCGCATAAACAGAACTCATCTAAAGTTTCATCTAATGGTATGTACAAAATTTTTCATCACGAATATATACACTGCTCATTTGCCTAAGCGTTATGAATGTCCACTACGAGCTGTCCTGTGCTTCAATGACCCTCTCATCATCCTGTTCGCCGTCCTTCTCACAATGGAGATATTCTCTGGAATGTTGTAATATTCATATCGAAATAGCTTTCGCTTTGAAACTTACCGTTGCCAGTCTCTGAATCAACACGAGGACGCATGTCAGCTGAATGTACTTGGGAATCGTGTACTGTTCCTAGGTTGATCAATTTCAGTGAGTATTTAAGAAAAGATTAAAACTACTTACTTCTAACCATACTTTTTGAGTTCGTGCGACCAACTGACATAGCTTTCATTGGCTAAAAAATTTAAAATGTAATGAAATCAAGTTGTTCGCGTTAGACTGTCTCACCTCGATGTTACTGGAGCCGGGCATACCCCTAGGACCGAACACTTCTATTTGGCCGCCGTTACCATTTCCATTATTATTGCCATTACCACTGACAGAAAAATCGCCATTTCCATTATTATTTAAGGACGGTCCTCCATCGTTTTTCCCTTGCATAAAGGGAGCTCGGCCTCCTTCTTCACAGAGAGATGGCCGGACACCAGCGCAAAGAGGGCTTTCTCCGTAGCTTGGCTGTGATGGCGCATAAGGTTGTGGTGGAACTGGCGGAGGTACTGGAGGTTCTGGTGGAGATAATGGAGGAACGTATGGCTGCGTTGGTGCCGGTGGCGGCGGTGGCGCCGGTGGAGCGACGTACGACTGTGGCGGCGGTGGTGGCGGCTCCACTGGTGGTGGCGCCGGTGGAGGTGGTGCGACGTACGACTGTGGCGGCTGCGGCGGCGGCGGCGGTGGTGCGACGTACTTCGATGGTGGGGGTGCGACGTACGATGGAACAGCAACGTACGTCTGCGGCGGCAACTGTGCAACGTACTCTGCTGGCGGAGGTGCGACGTACGTTGAAGGAGCAACGTACGACTGGGGTGGCGACGGAGCGACATATGTTGGAGGTGGAGGAGGAGGAGGAGGTGGAGGTGGAGGTGGCGGTGGAACGACATACGTTGGACATGGAGGTGGAAGAGGAGGTGGAGGAGGAGGTGGTGGTGGTAGTGGAGGAGGAAGCGGTGGTGGAAGTGGTGGTGGAAGAGGAGGTGGAGGTGGAATTGGCGATGGAGCAACATATGGGGGCGGCCCTACGCAAGGGGCGGATACAACAGCGGTGTGTCTAACAACGTAGCCGCCTCCGACTGCGTAAGCTGGAATGATATAGTAACGCCGTTTACCACAAAGTGATTTACTCTTATATCGGTAACGCCTACAGTGCATATTTGCTTGAACTTGTCATAGTTAATACAGACTCAAACAAGTTCCGTAGATTTGCGGTGTTCCTCAAATCTTTTGGAATATGTGAACCTCTTCGCAAGCTTGCAACTTACCCTGTGCACAAGGCGCAAAGTTTTCTTCAAATTGACCAGCTTTTACACATCAATGATGTACCGTCACAAGGACCTTGAATCCGCTGCTCCTTCTCACGAGAATTGTGCGATTAGTAATTGAATAGTAAACGCACCACGAAAAACTGTGCTTTGTACTCGTGGAATTAGGGTATCAACTAACGAACGCTAGTACAAGCACCCCTCAGGAAACAAGAAAACTTTACTTGAAAAACTTTTCTTGCTATGACACCTGACTCAGCACCAGCTTTTTCGAGAAGAAACATTAAAGTACAACTATATCACCGCACACTTTGATTCTGTGTGCTTCACAATTGTACGAACATCCATTTTGAAAATTTCGGGGCTTTTTGAAATGGAGTCAAGAGACCGTTGGTACTGCTTGAAGGATCGTAGCCGAAAACGGTATATGTGGTACAAGAACAAAAATTGCTGTCAATCCTAGGAATGTTTCTGCGCTGAATGCAATTTTTTGGCGGTCATAATCATGCGAACACTTCAAACGAAGCTCTTTTTTTCAATCAGGTACACAAACTTTTGAGGTCAAACTTTCCAGTGAAATTACAGTAGTAACAAAGCCTGAGAAATCCCCAACACACTAAATCCAGACCAGTTAACTAAGAAGAGGATACTCTTTCCAAATGGCTCAAAGCTTTGGTCACTGCGCTCCAAAAATGTCTGAGTGGCTCGAGCAATCTAATTAGCTTTTACGTTCCTCCAAGGCTATGAGATAAATTGAGCTTTTTCGACACACATTCTGTGTGATGCTTAAAATATCCCTACGTTCTCGTCGCGATTTCTAACTATGCTAAACTTACCCTAGAGTTAGCACGATTCCGAGCATCAAACTCAGCTTCTTTTTCGCGCAAAGCATTGCGACAAACCAGTTGCAATTTTCGCATGATGATATTTATCCTGTGCTGAGGTTTTTGGGTTCTTTTCGGAATTAATCTTGAGGCTAAGGAGCTAAAAACCATCCAAAGATGTGATCGCAGTAATGAAAAGTGACTGTGGTTGAATGACGCCTGCGTGGCAGAAGAAACGCTTAGTTTTGCTGATTATTTCTCTTCAAATACATAGCAATTAAAGCTTCTACGTATTATGTGATTACCCCAAAGTAGGATTCAGAAACCGAGTTTTGCTCAAAATCGAGGGTCACCTTTATGCATTTTTCAAAACACAATCACTTCTTAGCTAGATTATTTTTTAGTATGTCGCAAAGTTATACCGTAGCCGACGAACAATCCAAAATACTATGGCAACACCTGGGAGGTTCAATTTTGCTTACATAATAGCACGTTAATGAAGTGGTAACGTCGCCACTTGCGGGCTCATGATGTTGTAGTCTTTGGAGATATATAAAACCACTTATGTGGATTTGCCTCTATTAATTCTAGTGATTGCACAGCGAAAACTATAGGTGGATGAAATACTTTGTTTGTTTCCAGAAATCGGGAAACGAATGTGAATATTAACAGCGCGTCACCTCTGCTTAGCAGGTATTTGGATTGGTTATACCATCCGAATGCCTTTCTTGTGCTTGCAAATTGATAACTTTGAAACTCATCACGCAATGCTGAACATCACATGATTGAAACAAGCGCTCTTTTCCAAAGCTTTTTGAGATGGGTCATTTCGAAGGAAAGACTATTCTATAGAGGAACAAATGCGAATTTGAATGAGTCACCAAATTTAACTGGCTTGTTAGTCGCCAGAAGAATAACTACTCTAGGCTACATTTCTGTGCAAAATCTTTTCAGTTTTTCATGTAGAACCTTAACAAATTGACTATCTGTGCAATCATCTCTTTTTGGCGCTTTTTCGCAGAACAATGGACTTCTTCATATTTAGGCTAGAATACATAGCTCGCAGATTACCTGTCAGGAAGACAAATTAAATGCAAAAAGTCGAATTAGCGACCTAGTTTTGCCTGCCTAAAGGGAAGGCCGTGGACCCGCTCACCCGCAAATTTTGAAGGATCCGCTTATCGAACTGGTTCACGCTTGTGCTTTTTGGACTTATGCTATATGCTGCTACCGTATCTCGTACAAGTTTAGCTAGATAGCTCGATAACTTGGCTGCAACTCTTTTCATGAATTTCGTGACAGACAGACATACGCACACACGTCAATAAGACAGACGCTCACGCTTTATTATGAGCCATGATTGCCAAATGCAGCTGTAAAAATGAAAAATGATGAGAAGTTTTAAAATGTGTTAAGCACTGCTTGGGATAAGTTTCTCTTGTCTCAGCCAGCATCTTTCTCGAACTTTCTAACTATGAGTTTTAAGAGCTGCTTTGCATAATGAGAAACGACTTCTATTGTTTGCACCTTCAATCAAAAGTTACTCTTGCACCTTTGATTAATTGTTACTAAAGTTGTAAATGAATCATAAATAGCCAAGTTTTACCTGGGACCGGTGGTCCAACTACGTATCCGCCACAGCCAGCAATCAAGCTAAAATGAAGGAACAATATTATTTTCAGAAAATTTTTAAGCTGTGTGAAGAAAATGAAATTGCTATAGCAAGCAGAAAATAATATCTGTCATTACCATAGAAAGATTTGCGAAAAACAAACATTATTTTTTTCTAAGAATGTAGTTACCTGCAAATAAATGAGCTAATGAGAAGTGTCGAGGAAAATATATGCATCGCTTCTGATTTCTTAATCGTCACGCAACCTTTATAAAGCAAATCAGCCGCTGAACTTTTGCTAAAAACAACAGAACACGTCCCATAAGAGCTTTCAACGAGACACTATGTATACTCTCAAGAAATACACTATAAGAGGCTAGGGTAGAAACTATTTCGAAGCCTACAAGGAAGCTACTTAACTTAGCCCGGCCTTTTGGAAAGAAACTTATCCTGCATCAGCTTCAAACACTGATCCCAAATATGCTATTCATAGCTGTCGCGCACCACTCCAAAGCGAGTTATGGGCTTTTCCTGCGCAAAGTTCGCATACTTATCGACTCAGTGGCATCAGGACCAGGGCCCGGCGGGGGTGGCGCTTTCACAAGCTGGATATCGTTTTTGGCCCGAAAAAGCAAAGGGGAAGTCGTATTTTGGGGCCGATAAACAATGCACATATCATTCTTTATTCATCATTCCTTGTTGATGCTACTGTCCTATGAACTTAGACTCCAGCAATGTGAAGATTCTGTGCTCCGATCGCTAGCCTGTCCGCAGGCGGGAATTCAAATCGCAATTCTTGTAAGAGGAAAATAACAAAATAGGCTCGTTTTCAATGCACAAGTAACGATATGGCACCAAATTCGCTGTATAGTTGGAGGACCATGAGCAGAAAAAAAGTATGAAGAATTATGAGAAACATATGTGAATTTGAAAAATGGTAACTGTTTTTCGAATTTAGGTGGCTCCCGCGCCATCTGGGAGCAACCTGGGGTGGCTCCCTGCTTCTCTTCACATAATTCCCCGGTTTTCTTCAATAAATGTGGACTAGGTCGAGAGTATTACTATATGTTTAAATCCGCTTCCAAAACCACCAAGGCACCGCTTCGATACAGCCCCAAATAGGGTTCACAGCGTTATGGTCGGCCTCGGAAAGCGCGCTCCAATCGCAATCGGTTATTGTACTAAATTGTAAAGTTTCGCAGCTGACTAATAAATGAGTAGTATCTTAGATATAAACGTCAAAGTTTGTGCAAATCTTGATTTGTTTTTTTATAGATTCCTTTGCGGATGAACCCATTGAGCTGAAACCTTGATGACCCGGGCTGGACCAGGAAAGCCAGGTAGTACTACAATATTAAGCGCTGAGGCCGCCCATCTTATTATTTGTGTATATCTGTTTGTCAGGGACTTACGGGGTCAAAAATAGGGTCAAAGGGGAAGTCGTAAGAAATTTTGGCTTTAAAGGGGATATCGTTTTCAAAATTCTGAAATGCCACCTCCTGCCGGGCCCTGATCAGATCATCATCTAAGTGCTAATACACTTACGTTAAGTTTCTTTTTAATGAAAAAAGATTGAATCTGTGTTACTTCGATATCTCAGCAGCTTTTTCTTGCAGATATTTATCTTCATTTATTCTTCCCATGTTCAGTAATATGACAATTTAACGCAAGAAGCTTGTAACTGGCCGGTGCGCGGCAGCTGGAAATAGAATATTTGGAATAAGCGTTTGAAGCTGATTCAGAATATATATGTAATCTCTTGCCAAAAGGTCGAGCTAAGTTAGGTGGCTTTTCTTATTAGCTTTTGCACGTCGATCCTCAACAATTACCTTCAACGATAAACCATGGTCTAAATCGAGTCACTCGTAACTTGAATCGTGCACTGCATACCACGCGCGATTTGTATGCTCGCAGGTGACCCATCATAAAGCATTTATTTCCTTTCACATCTTTTGGATGTGGACGTGAAAACTTATGATTTGTTTTTTGCGTCGAATCGGTTCCACTCATTGCTTGCGAGAAGTTGAAGAGTCTCGCGCACAATGTGCAAGCTCCATATCAAGTCACAGATTGCTCCAATGTACATTATGCTGCACGAAGTTACCTCTCTTCTGTCTCGGCTTTCTCAGAGTTGTAAATAAAGACCATTCTTCCTGAGCTTCGAAAAACAGTCTGGTCTTTTCTCCCATAAGAACGAACACTTCCAATGTCATACAACTTAATAGATCTTTTATTTTTGAGTTTAATGCATGGCTACCACTCCTGAATGTTTTTGATTCAATAAAACTGCATATTCGAAGAAATGCCGACTATCAAAAAGCAAAGTGTAAATTTCACCAAAAAGATAAACAAGATCTCCCTAGACATCTGCAACATCATCTGCAACATATTTGATTTTTTTTTTATCTCGGAATGTTTACGCACCATATACAGCTTATAGGCTAATTGAGCGAG